ATGTTATGCCAATGCGAGTGATGTGTGTGAGGAGGAACATACCTACCTTTGACTCAAAATGAAAAGAAAGAAAAAAACTCGACAAAAACTTGGACAGAGCCTGAAAGCAAAAAAGATAAAATGTTAGTATAATAATTAAAAATGAAGCAATTAAAACTTCAATAAATGGATCATAAATTAACTAAAAACTAGAAATCATAATTTCCACCAAGATGACAATATGTAAACGACATACAACCTGACTCTCAAAAAAAAAGTCCCCAGCAGAGTCGCCAAGCTGTCATAACCATTTTTTTTAAAAAACAATTAAATATATAAAAAAACGATTACGACTTTATTTTGGAAAGATTGGGTGATTTTGAGTTGATTTGAATTAAATTGAAAAGAGTCGCCATCGACCTTTGGGTTAGGTAGGTCGAATACCTAAAACGTATTTTAAAACAATTTAAAAAAATCATTTTTAAAGACAAAAATGGTCTGCGTTTACCAAATGTTCGATTTGATGGGTTCGGGAGTCGGTTACGCGTGGGGAAGGATTAGCACCCCACAACGCCCAAAAACTGGTACTGTGTCGCTTACATGTTGTCGTAAAATGGTGGAAATTACAAATCGAATATAAAGTTAAAATATGATCCGTTTATTGAACATTAATTAATTTGCTTCGAATCAATTAATTAGAGAAAATTCCTTAATTCGAAAAGAAATCTCGAAATTAGCAATCCTCCATCGAGAAAGCTAACTCGACTATTTCTTATCAATAAAAGAATATTCCCTCGTTAATAAATATATGAATCGACTAAAAATGAAAATCGACTATTTGCACTCGCATTCAATGAAATAAATTGATAAAAAAAGATCGAATATACATCGTAGAATGAAAATTAATAACTTACATGAAATGAAATAAATTATTATTTAGAGACATTCATTGCAATGTTCGATTTAAAATGAAATGGATTAACAAAATAAAATCAAATTAATTTCAAGTTCACATTTGTTCGAATGTCATATCGGATTGTACCACTTCGATCAAGCGATACTTTCCATGCACGTTCTACAAATTTGTGTTCTCAAAATTATTCGAATTAATTATGAAATGTTTAACCAAATACGAGAGATACATAAAGTGCTGACACAAAATAAATTAATATGAATATAAATCATGGAAGAAAAGCCAATATATGTATATAAGGCACAAAGGTGGGCTCCACACGAAATACACATAAATACACTTAACATAACACTTATATACATAAAAAAAATATATAAATCCCGAATATCATTCAATTTGCAAATTAGAAATTTAATAGGAAAAATAAAGTAAATAAATCACATTGCACATACAATTTATATATATATGGAAAACATAAATAAATAAATAAATAATTTAATCGATGTAAACATGATCTATGCGCTAATATAAATATATTTACCAAGCAAGCATACACATTATAATTTAATATTAAGGCCTAAATGAACAAACATCAAACATGGCAAATCAAAGTATGAAAAAGTAAAACTAACTGCAAGGAATAAAATAAACACATCACAAATTAATAAGTGAAATCAAACATTTAACTAAAAACAATTAACAGTGTAAAATGACTAAAATATAAGAATGATGAAAGTTAAAGTTCGAAGTAAAATACCCAACATTTCAATTAAGGACTGAAATATAAGAAAATAAAATACTATGATACTAGCAGAAACTTACCCAAAGATAAAATAACAAAAAAAGGACTTAAATGAAATAAACACAAACATGAAGGCCGAATCATAAATAAACCAAATGTAAAACAGTGACCATAATAATATCTTTACAAATACCATGACTAGATTCTAATATTAACAGTACATGATAACACATTAAATCAGTGACTAAAAATAAAATATTTACAAATGAAATGACCAGATTCAAATGTCAACAAAAATACACAACACAAGCTACCAGTGACTAAAATGATTGATTTACAAATATTGCTTCCAAATTCGAACATAAAAACATAACACAAGATCAGTGACTAAAATGTAAGAAACATAAATATCCTGTCCAAATTCGAACATTCACAAAAATACACAACACACGAAATTAGTGACTAAAATGAAACTATTACAAACATTGGGACCAAAGTCAAATATCCACAAAAATGACATAACATACATTAATAGGACTTAAATAAAATATTTATAAATGTGATGGCCAGATTCGAATATCAAAGAAACATACATGAAATATTAAATCAGTGGCTAAGATGTAACATTTATAAATACTTAAACCAGAACCAAATATAAACAAAAATGTTATAATACCTAGAATAGTGACTAAAATGTAAAAGTGAAAAGATAAAGGCTCAAATTGAAATAATGTAAACTTCATTCCATGGCTAAATCGTGCGGTTACAAAGGATCAGGGACCAAAAGCGTGGTTTACCCCTTAATATGAAAACACGGAAACCATGACCCCTTTAAACGGCGTCGTTTTGGGTCCATCATAACCCAAAAATAAGGGTTTCGAAACCCTTGCTTTTTTTTTCATTCTCAGCCGTGTCCCAAAACCAAAGAGGAGAGAACTCTCTGCCTCCCAAGCCGTTCTCCCTGTTTCCTCTTCTCCTTTTCTTCTCTTCTCACTGATGAAGAACACACAACCCCGGCCACTTTAGATCGGTGGCCATGGTGTTTCACACACCACACATCCTCATCCAAGAAAAACCAACCTAAAAAACTAGACCCTCTTCCCCACAACCAAATCTTAAAAACCCTAAGCCCCAAAGATACGAACCTTACCTCCTAAAATAGAGTCCAACCGCTCCGATGAAGCAGCTGTGGCTTGATCGGTTAAGGGTAAATCTCTTCCTTCTCTCTCCTTTTTTAGTTTTTGTGTTTCGGTATCACTGTTTTTTTTTTTTTTGCTTCAGTTCGAATGGTTTTTTTTCCCCCATTTTTCTGTCTTCTTTTGATTTATGTGGGATATTTCGTGATAATGATGAAGCCTCTACATAGGTGAAATGATTTTCCAGATTTTTTGCTATGTTAAATCCCGAAAAAATCGGGATTTAACTTATTTTAAAATGGGGTTTTAAATAGGTTACTGTAAATGATAACTTGGGACTGATTTGGGGATGCTGTTTGATTGATTTTTCACTGTAGATGACGATGGTGGCGCGGGAACGGCGGCTGGACCATCGGAGTGGGCCGGAACAGTGACGGTGGCGCGGCTGTTCATTTGTTGCTGGCGGCGGCGGCGGCTGGATGATGATACGTTTAGGGTTTAAAACCCTAATTACTTGGGCCAGATCCAGGCCTGGTTCGGGTATTGGGCCTGAACCGGGTCTGCTCCAGCTTGGTGGGTATGCTGTTGGGCTTAGGGATTAGGCCTGCAAAAGTTTGTAAATGTAAATTAAATAATAATAATAATAATAATAATAATAAAAATAACGATAATAATAATATATAAAAAAAAAAGACCCGGACAAAAACGGGTGTCTACACGGTTAATATGTCTGGATGGAAAATAATAGCAGCCTATTTCGTAATCTCGAGAAAGATCTAAAATTTATATAAAGTCCATACTGAAAACTAAGGCCGGAAAACTAGATATGATATGTTATCCAAGTTCAGAGAAAAAAGAAGAGAACGAGTTACCTTGCAGAAAGTCTCTCTTCTTATACCATATAAATTCTGCAAGGACAATAGATGGTGTGACACAGCAATCTTAGCCATCTGATACAATCCTACACTGGAAAAACAAATTAATTAACAATTAAGCCAAAAGGTCGTCCAAGGGAGTTCAGTTAGTTGCTTTTAAAGAGAGATAAAATATCTAACCTATTGTATTTCAAGCTGACATTTGCAAGGCCGGTTGATGAAGACATACCAATACCGTGAGTAAACAAAGACAAAGGGATTGATTTCGAGGGCGGGGATGCCGGGAGGAGGCCAAATGTATTCAGAATGGCCATCAATGCCCAACTAACAGCATAGTGAATAAAAGTCAGAAATACCGGAAACTGGAATCCTACATGCCATCAATGTATTCAGAATGGCCATCAATGCCCAATTTAAGTACCTGAAAACACGAAACGAGTATAGCGATCATATAGGACAATTTTATTAAATCTAAAACCAAGATCTTGACAGAGAGTTGCTTTATATATGAGAAAATTTGGCATACAAACCCATTTGTTTACGAAAATAATGGCAACAGCAACGATAAAGTTGAATGTAAGAGCAGCAACAGGGCCACAACTTTGAACTATCGGCCGAGTAGAATTTGTTAAAGAGTGAAGATCGCAGGTCCTCTAGGGCTTTCCCTGAATTTGTAATGCAAGGAAACAAAAGGAAGCACAAAAAAAATATTAGAAACACGGCATAGAGAAAAATAATACTTTTCGGTTAATTCATATACATGTTCCAATAGTTAAGACATTCGAATACACAAATGAAATAACAAAATCAGTAAGAAAGTTTATGCTCTGAACAGAACATCGACAACAGCCCCATTACACACAAAAGGATAGTTCAAAACATTTGGTATATTGTAACACCCTTAACCCGTATATATTTCGATATACGAGTTAACGATGTCACATCAAACTGAAAACATTTACTGAACTAAAATTTCCGTAAAAAAAAATTTCTTTAAAAATACTCTTGTTCTAACTTTAAAAAAAATCTGTTTTAAAGTATATTTCATATTATAATTTCTTTCTTTATTACAATAAAATAAATTCATTATTTATTCAGTAATTTTACTAAACCATGTCTTTTCGTAAAACTTTTTAAAAATATAATAATGTAATAAATTCTTGTCATGCATAGTTATCAATAAAACTAAACTAAGTAAAATAAACTAAAATAATTCTAGTTTACTATTACAATTTATTTAAAATAAATACGATAATTAGAAACTATTGACCTAATTATACATGCCACTATAAGTCAAAAGGAACATCATAGATGTCTTACAGATACTGATGATATGTATGTCTTTCCAAAAGATGCTCCGATAGCTCCTTACCGATCGTACTTATCCTTACTAGAACCTACGCATGAAAATCATCACGCGCTAAGTATAAATTAGTGAGGCAGTAATACTAAAGGTGAGAATAATTAAATAAAATATCAAAATATATAAAATCATTAAAATAATACAGACTGAAATTCTTCAGAATATTCAAACCAGATATCTCATGTTGAACTTTATAATAAACCTGAAAATAATCATCTGATAATTTTCACAAGATCATAAATAATCGGATCAGACAGAATAATCAGTTTATAATTCTTTGTAGTCAGACACTTTTCAGAACTTTCTTATTTCATTTTTATAGCCCAAAGTATATTTTAAGAGAATGTAAGATACGTGAGTCAGACGAGTGTGCGCAATACAGATATCAGATCATCAGTCGGAACATATAAGCACACATAGTGCTATCACATCGGAAATAACAATATGCACACCAAGTGCATTCAGATAAGAATATATATATACTAGTGTACACTCCGGTACACCACAGTATATCAAAATCAGAACAGATAATCACTCCACCTCATGGCATGCCAATTGTACCTTTGACTCTCAATATAACATACAGTGGGCTTTTAGTTCATTTCTTAACCATTTGATAAACATCATATCAGATTCGAAAATATATTTAATTCACATTCTTAAAATGTGACATGGACAGTTCATGTCCAAAAACTTTCATAAAACTTATTAAAGAAATTATGGATATAATTTAATAATCAAAACATAATTCATATCTTTGAAATAAATAAGATGAGGTTGACTTATCGCAAGTCGTCCTCGATCAAATAATTAAATAAATAAATTGCACTCACCTTTGCCTCACTTAAGAACTTGTATACGATAATACTAGTCACAAGCTTTGTCCTTTCCTTTTAGATTGTTCGGATTGCTAGTTTTATTGAAATCTGACAATACGAAATTATAACACAAAATGTTTAAACTACATATTAGTATCGTTCTAACATAAGCTCATTTTTGATATTTGAGAATCTATAAAATAAAATCGATAACTAAATCGATATCAACCTAAATCATAACTCCATTATAACGTCAAACCACATATTTTTGAATTCTTTCTAAAATTCAACTCAACTTTTCCTTTAATTCATAATGGTCTTTCGCCATTATGATAATTTTACATTAATTACTAAAATTCCAGAACTTGAATAAAATACCCAAATATTACTTCTTCATTTAAGAACTTGTAAACAAGTCCCCAAAGTTTTGGAACCTTTCGATTTCCACCATCTAACCATTAGAATGAATTCTTTTAGAATTCTTCTCAACATTTCCAATTTATTCAAAATGGTCTCTTGCCATTTAACTTCAATTCCAAGCATCCAAAAATATATTCAACATTTAAACATTATTCTTCATCTTCTAATCCATTTCAACTCAAATTCTACAAATTTCCATATTCAGACAACTTGTTCTATCTTTAAAGAATCAATATTCTGTATTAATTTACACACTGGAATTTGATTCCATTTCTTCCATTGAAAACTAGACTCGAATACGAATCTATCCATATAAAGAACTCCTTCTAATTCAATCTGTACAATTTATGGTGAATTTTTAAAGTTGACTGACAGAATCTGTTTTATGCAGAATCTGCTGCCCGTTTTTAGGACATTTCCTCGGTTAAAAATTCATATCTTTTTTTTATACACCTTGAAACTGATACCCGTTTGTTTTAAACGAAACTAGATTGATATACGAACACAATATATAAAAATCACATTCTAATCATTTTTATAGAATTTCTGGTGAATTTTCAAACTCACTGCCAAATTCAAAATCTAAACTGTTTTCATTAACTTCATCCTTAAATTCTTCATCAATCCTTACAAACAATTCTTTAAAATCACTTAACTCTTCATAACCCCAAAAGTGTCTGCTGAAACTAAGCCAAACCTCAGCTTCTTCAAAATTTATCAAAATAAAACAAATCAATTTTATCGTTCTCACCCACCAAATTCATAGCTGAATCACTAAACTAGTCTCTCTAATATATTTTTTCCACTTTCAAGCTTAGTCATGCTTCCATTACACTCCTAGAACCAAAATCTCAATCTTATATCTTTGAATTCTCATTTCCCGTTCAACCTCCAAAATCACAACTTTCATAAATCAACATGAAACAAAGAAATAATTATACCATATTGTAGAGAAAATAGTGTAGGTAAATTTCTTATTTCACGTTTTAGTCCCAAAACTCACTAAATTTGGTCAAAAATGGAAGAAAATAAATTTGCTTACCTTGGCTATGGGTTTCAGCAACCTGCTGGAGGAGAGAAGAGAAGTTCACGAGCATTCTAAAAAAAATCTCTTACTTTAACCCATAAAAAATCAATTATAACTAATTTTTTTTATTTTAGGCTAAAAGGCTAACTTACCATTAATGAATTCTCAAAATTACACCCATGCCAGTCCATGACATCATCCCTTACCTCATCAAATTCAGAAAATATCTTAATTCTAATTTTCCATGTTTGTCCTTGTAATTTTTTGAAATTTACAATTTAGTCACCTAATTCCAAAATTTTGGCTTAACATGGAAAATCGACCTTAATTCCATTGATCCATGTTAAATTTCACTTTTCTAAAATATATAAATAATATTTCCAACCTTTATCTAGCATCCTTCACATTTTTGTGAAATTTTGATTCGATCTGATTATCCGATTTAATACCGAACTTTACCACTTTATAGCCTTTAACACAAATCTCGTACCGAAAATATGATTCCCACTAAAATCATTGTTTTTGACCAAACTTTTCATTTACGGCTAAAATATATAACTTTTAAAAATTACAAATTTCAGTCCCTACACTTTTCTAAGTTTATACTTTAGCCACTAAACTTTTAAAACTTACATTTTAGTCACTGGTCAAATTTTTGGGGTATTACAATTCCTCCCCCTTAAATAAAATTCGTCCTCGAATTTTCCATATGTATTTACATACCTGAATTAAATAGATGAGGAAACTTTTTCTTAATATCTTCTTCTCTTTCCCAAGTTGATTCCTCAACTTTATGGTTTCGCCAAAGTACTTTTACTAATGGAATCGTCTTATTTCTTAGTTCTTTGACTTCATGTGCTAAAATCTTTACTGGCTCCTCTTCGTATGATAAATCTGGTTGAATCTCAATTTCCTCCCGTGTAACTACATGTGAAGGATCTGATCGATATCTTCGAAGCATTGATACATGAAATACATTATGAATCTTGTCCATCTCTGGAGGTAACGCCAACTGATAAGCTACTGGTCCAACTCTCTTTACAATCTCGTATGGTCCGATAAATCTTGGACTCAATTTCCCTTTTCGTCCAAATCTTAGAATCTTTTTCCAAGGTGACACCTTAAGAAATACCTTATCACCCACTTGATATTCAATCTCTTTTCTTTTTAAATCAACATAAGATTTCTGTCTATCAGCTGCTATCTTGAGATTGTCTTGGATTACTTTCACTTTGTCTTTCATCTCCTTAATTAGATCTGGACCAATTACATCTCGATTTTTTAATTCGTACCAATTCAGTGGTGTTCGACATTTTCTTCCATACAACGCTTCAAAAGGAGCCATTTGATTGATAACTGTTATTATAAGCAAACTCTGCTAAAGGTAAATACTTTTCCCACGATCCTTTAAAATCAATAACACACGCCCTTAGCATATCTTCAAGTATCTGAATAATTCTTTCAGATTGACCATCTATCTGAGGATGATAAGATGTGCTGAAATTTAGTCTGGTTCCCAATGCCTCATGCAAGGACTTCCAAAATCTCGAGGTGAATCTCGGATCTCTATCGGAAACTATCGAAATGGGTACTCCATGAAGTCGTATTATTTATCTGATATATAACTCAGCATACTTGTTCATAGAATAATCTTCTCGAACTGGGATAAAGTGTGATGTCTTTGTCAATCTATCCACTATCACCGATATCGAATCTTTCTTACTAGGTGTCAAAGGTAAACCTGTCACAAAATCCATGGTAACTCGTTCCCATTTCCATTGAGGAATTGAGATAGGTTGCAACAACCCCGAAGGTACTTGGTGTTCTGCTTTTACCTGCTGACAGGTTAGACATTTAGAAACAAACTCAGTGATAGCTCTTTTCATACCTGCCCACCAATACCGACTCTTTAAATCTTGATACATTTTGTTTCCTCCTGGATGCATAGTCAAAGGACTATAATGAGCTTCAGAAAGAATATCTTTCTTCAGTTCTTCATCATCGGGTATGCAAATTTGATTCCGATAATACAAACATCCATCAGACTTAATTTCAAAATCTGTAATTTCTCCTTTCTTTGCTTGCTTCATTCTATCTAAACACTTCTTATCTTTATTCTGAAGATCCTTGATACGATCCAATAGGGCGGGTCTCAATCTCAATTCTGCAATCAATGCACCATCATCTTCCATTGATAGTCGTGCATCTAACGCTCTCATAGCAGTAAAGGTTTTTCGGCTAAGTGCGTCAGCTACCACATTAGCCTTCCCAGGATGATAATCAATAATCACATCATAGTCTTTGAGAAGCTCAATCCATCTTCTTTGTCTTAGATTTAACTCTTTCTGAGTGAGCAAATATTTTAAACTCTTATGATCTGTATAAATATAACATCGCTCACCATATAAATAGTGGCGCCATATTTTTAGAGCAAACACTACAACTGCTAGCTCCAAATCATGTGTCGGATAATTCCGTTCATGCGTCTTTAACTGCCTTGAAACATAGGCTACCACTTTACCTTCTTGCATTAAAACACATCCCAAACCATTATGGGATGCATCACTGTAGATTACATAATCTTTTACTGACTCTGGCTGCACTAATACCGGTGCCTCAGTCAGAATCTTTTTAAGCTTCTCAAAACTTTCTTGACACTTTTCATTCCAAACGAATGGTACATCCTTTCGAAGTAGTTTGGTAAGTGGAGATGCAATTATTGAAAAATTCTTCACAAATCTCCGATAATATCCAGCTAACCCGACTTCAGAAACATTTTTCGGAGGTTTCCACTCCACTACCGCTTGTATTTTCTTAGGATCCACTCTAATTCCTTCTGCTGAAATCACGTGACCCAGAAAGGCGACCTCTGACAGCCAAAATTCACATTTTGATAATTTAGCATATAACTTTTTATCTCGTAATATCTGAAGTACGATATGGAGATGTGTGTCGTGCTCTTCCATAGTCTTAGAATACACCAAAATATCATCAATGAACACAACCACAAATTGATCCAAATATGGCTGAAAGACTCGATTCATCAAATCCATAAATGCTGCTGGAGCATTGGTTAGTCCAAACGGCATCACAACAAACTCATAATGACCATATCGAGTTCTGAAAGCCGTCTTTGGAATATCTTCCTCTTTTATCTTTAGCTGATGATACCCTGATCAAAGATCAATTTTCAAAAATACTGAAGCACCCTTGAGCTGATCAAACAGATCATCGATCCTCGGAAGAGGGTATTTATTCTTCACTGTCACCTTATTCAATTTATGATAATCTATACATAATCGCATCGAGTCATCTTTCTTTTTAACAAAAAGTACTGGTGCACCCCAAGGAGATACACTCGGTCTAATAAAACCTCGATCTAATAGCTCCTGTAATTACGCTTTTAGTTCTCTGAGTTCCGTTGGAGCCATCCTATATGGAGCCATTGAAATAGGAGATGTACCCGGGAAAACTTCAATTTTAAACTCCACTTCTCGATCAGGAGGTAATCCAGGTAAATTATCAGGAAATACATCTGAAAATTCTCGAACTGTCGGAATATTCTCTAATCGAATTTCAGATGTCCGGGTATCGAGCACATTTGCTAAGAAAGCTGTGCAACCTTTTTCCATCATTTTCATTGTCGTAAAGGCTGATATTACATTAGGCGAAGACCCCGCTTTTTCTCCAATTACTATTATCTCGGTACCCTCTGCATCCTTTATAAATAATCGCTTCATGCGACAATCTACCCAACCATAATGCCGAGATAACCAATCCATGCCCAATATAATCTCAAACTCATTAAACGGTAACTCCAAAAGATTCGCTGGGAATATAACCCCTTGAATCTTTAGCGGACAATTTCTGCTAATCCTTGTGACTCTAGCACTATGACCCAGTGGATTTATAGCTATCATATCACTATTGATGGGTTCTAACGGAATATTCTTATTTTTAACTAATTCCGAGCTAACATAGGAACGCGTAGAACTCGGATCAATCAAAACAAATAAAGGCTCATCATAAAGATAGAAAGTACCTGCTATGATCTCTGGGTCGTCACGATCATCATTAGTCTTGATGTTATAAATTCTCGCTGGAGCACGAACGTCAGACTGAGAGGCTGTCTCAGAATATCCCCTCCCTCTACCTCTGCCTCTACTGCCTCTCTGAGATACTGCTACAGACCTTTCTGTCTGCACTGGTCTCTCCCAAATTAAAGGGCAATCTCTGACAAAGTGATTGGTATCTCCACAACGGAAACAAGCTCCAGTCTTCATTCTACAAACTCCAGGGTGATTTTTACCGCAATACTGACATGGCAATATTTGATCCTGTGATCGAGCTGATCTACTGGCTCCTGAAACTGTCATATGAGTCTGTCGGCCTTTTTCTTTTGCCTCAAATCCTTTACGACTAGAAGCACCACTTTCAGTTTTATTTTGATATCGATAACCGGAACCTCGACCTCTTTTAGACTGAAAAGATGATGATGCTCCGGATCTTTTAGACTGTCGTCTCTGCTCTATCAGAAAATTCTCATTTTGTGCCATTTCCAAATCTTTTGCTTTGTTCACTACTTTCTGAAAAGTGGTCAAGTTCGCAGCCAACAGAAGTTCCTTGAGTCTGGGACGAAGACCTCAAATAAATTTCTGACATATATCTCTTTCAGTAGGAATCATCTCTGAGGCATATCGAGCAAGTTTATTAAACTCACATTCATAATCGTACACCGATTTACCACCCTGAATCAGATTAAAGAAATCATGCTTCATCTGAGTAATAAATTGCTCTCCAATATGCTTCTTCTGAAATGCTTCTAAGAAAAACCGCCACATGATCTGATATGGAGGAACACGTGTCGTCACGTTCGTCCACCATATACGAGCCTGACCTCGTAATAATGAAACTACTCCCTCTAATCTTTCATCATCGGAACAGTGAAGACTGACCAACATTATTTTCACATCATTCAACCACATATCTGCTTCTACTGGACCTTCGTTTGCTTCGCCTTTAAATTCTACAGCTCCTAAGCTTTTTAATTCTTTCGGAACCGATATTCTCGGAGCTGGAGGAAGAGGTGGAGGCGGAGGAAGAGGAGGTGCTTCCACCGGCTGATATCGAGCCAGTATAGCCTCTAGAGCTTGTAAGAAAGTTCCCTGATCTGGAGTGGGTACTCCTTGATGTACATGTTCTCCCTGACGTTGAGGTACGTGCTCTACTTCGTTACTACTCCCACTACCAGTTCCCTCAGGAACCCCTTGCTCGGTGGCCTGTCTTATGCCTTCCGAACCCGACATCTAAACAAAAGCACAAATTTACGTTAGTAAGGAGCAGCATCATAAATAAAATCATCAGACCATACCATATCAGTAATTTCAACATCTTAATGGCATGTGCATATTTTTGACATATTATAGGCTCGATTTAGGCCGAGAATCTGCTAAATCTGTAGTTCTGATACCAATAAATGTAACACCATTAACCCGTATATATCTCGATATACGAGTTAACGATGTCACATCAAACTGAAAACATTTACTGAACTAAAATTTCCGTAAAAAAAAATTTCTTTGAAAATACTATTGTTCTAACTTTAAAAAAAAATCTGTTTTAAAGTATTTTTCATATTATAATTTCTTTCTTTATTACAATAAAATAAATTCATTATTTATTCAGTAATTTTACTAAACCATGTCTTTTCGTAAAACCTTTTAAAAACATAATAATGTAATAAATTCTTGTCATGCATAGTTATCAATAAAATAAACTAAGTAAAATAAACTAAAATAATTCTAGTTTACTATTACAATTTATTTAAAATAAATACGATAATTAGAAACTATTGACCTAATTATACATGCCACTATAAGTCAAAAGGAACATCATAGATGTCTTACTGATACTGATGATATGTATGTCTTTCCAAAATATGCTCCGATAGCTCCTTACCGATCGTACTTATCCTTACTAGAACCTACGCATGAAAATCATCACGCGCTAAGTATAACTTAGTGAGGCAGTAATACTAAAGGTGATAATAATTAAATAAAATATCAAAATATATAAAATCATTAAAATAATACAGACTGAAATTCTTCAGAATATTCAAACCAGATATCTCATGTTGAACTTTATAATAAACCTGAAAATAATCATCTGATAATTTTCACAAGATCATAAATAATCGGATCAGACAGAATAATCAGTTTATAATTCTTTGTAGTCAGACACTTTTCAGAACTTTCTTATTTCATTTTTATAGCCCAAAGTATATTTTAAGAGAATGTAAGATACGTGAGTCAGACGAGTGTGCGCAATACAAATATCAGATCATCAGTCGGAACAGATAAGCACACATAGTGCTATCACATCGGAAATAACAATATGCACACCAAGTGCATTCAGATAAGAATATATATATACTAGTGTACACTCTGGTACACCACAATATATCAAAATCAGAACAGATAATCACTCCACCTCATGGCATGCCAATTGTACCTTTGACTCTCAATATAACATACAGTGGGCTTTTAGTTCATTTCTTAACCATTTGATAAACATCATATCAGATTCGAAAATATTTAATTCACATTCTTAAAATGTGACATGGACAATTCATGTCCAAAAACTTTCATAAAACTTATTAAAGAAATTATGGATATAATTTAATAATCAAAACATAATTCATATCTTTGAAATAAATAAGATGAGGTTGACTTATCGCAAGTCGTCCTCGATCAAAATAATTAAATAAATAAATTGCACTCACCTTTGCCTCACTTAAGAACTTGTATACGATAATACTAGTCACAAGCTTTGTCCTTTCCTTTCAGATTGTTCGGATTGCTAGTTTTATTGAAATCTGACAATACGAAATTATAACACAAAATGTTTAAACTACATATTAGTATCGTTCTAACATAAGCTCATTTTTGACATTTGAGAATCTATAAAATAAAATCGATAACTAAATCGATATCAACCTAAATCATAACTCCATTATAACGTCAAACCACATATTTTGAATTCTTTCTAAAATTCAACTCAACTTTTCCTTTAATTCATAATGGTCCTTCGCCATTATGATAATTTTACATTAATTACTAAAATTCCAGAACTTGAATAAAATACCCAAATATTACTTCTTCATTTAAGAACTTGTAAACAAGTCCCCAAAGTTTTGGAACCTTTCGATTTCCACCATCTAACCATTAGAATGAATTCTTTTAGAATTCTTCTCAACATTTCCAATTTATTCAAAATGGTCTCTTGCCATTTAACTTAAATTCCAAGCATCCAAAAATATATTCAACATTTAAACATTATTCTTCATCTTCTAATCCATTTCAACTCAAATTCTACAAATTTCCATATTCAGACAACTTGTGCTATCTTTAAAGAATCAATATTATGTATTAATTTACACACTGGAATTTGATTCCGTTTCTTCCATTGAAAACTAGACTCGAATACGAATCTATCCATATAAAGAATTCCTTCTAATTCAATCTGTACAATTTATGGTGAATTTTTAAAGTTGACTGACAGAATCTGTTTTATGCAGAATCTGCTGCCCGTTTTTAGGACCTTTCCTCGGTTAAAAATTCATATCTTTTTTTTATACACCTTGAAACTGATACCCGTTTGTTTTAAACGAAACTAGATTGATATACGAACACAATATATAAAAATCACATTCTAATCATTTTTATAGAATTTCTGGTGAATTTTCAAACTCATTGCCAAATTCAAAATCTAAACTGTTTTCATTAACTTCATCCTGAAATTCTTCATCAATCCTTACAACCAATTCTTTAAAATCACTTAACTCTTCATAACCCCAAAAGTATCTACTGAAACTAAGCCAAACCTCAGCTTCTTCAAAATTTATCAAAATAAAACAAATCAATTTTATCGTTCTCACCCACCAAATTCATAGTTGAATCACTAAACTAGTCTCTCTAATATATTTTTTTCCACTTTCAAGCTTAGTCATGCTTCCATTACACTCCTAGAACCAAAATCCCAATCTTATATCTTTGAATTCTCATTTCCCGTTCAACCTCCAAAATCACAACTTTCATAAATCAACATGAAACAAATAAATAATTATACCATATTGTAGAGAAAATAGTGTAGGTAAATTTCTTATTTCACGTTTTAGTCCCAAAACTCACTAAATTTGGTCAAAAATGGAAGAAAATAAATTTGCTTACCTTGGCTATGGGTTTCAGCAACCTGCTGGATGAGAGAAGAGAAGTTCACGAGCATTCTAAAAAAAATCTCTTACTTTAACCCATAAAAAAATCAATTATAACTAATTTTTTTTTATTTTAGGCTAAAAGATTAACTTACCATTAATGAATTCTCAAAATTACACCCATGCCAGTCCATGACACCATCCCTTATCTCATCAAATTCAGAAAATATCTTAATTCTAATTTTCCATGTTTGTCCTTGTAATTTTTTGAAATTTACAATTTAGTCACCTAATTCTAAAATTTTGGCTTAACATGGAAAATCGACCTTAATTCCATTGATCCATGTTAAATTTCACTTTTCTAAAATATATAAATAATATTTCCAACCTTTATCTAGCATCCTTCACATTTTTGTGAAATTTTGATTCGATCTTATTATCCGATTTAATACCAAACTTTACCACTTTATAGCCTTTAACACAAATCTCGTACCGAAAATATGATTCCTACTAAAATCATTGTTTTCGACCAAACTTTTCATTTACGGCTAAAATATATAACTTTTAAAAATTACAAATTTCAGTCCCTACACTTTTCTAAGTTTATACTTTAGCCACTAAACTTTTAAAACTTACATTTTAGTCACTGATCAAATTTTTGGGGTATTACATGGATGTTAGGGGATAATGCCTGGCATAGATGGATGCTAAATGGTTCAAATAGTTTCAGACAAAGTAATAGATGTCGATAGATTGCAATTTATAGTAAAGGCTAAAGTTCACTAGAAATTACCAAAGATTAAACAGAAGCAAAATGGTGTCTTTCAAGATTACACATTCTTCATTGCATAGTATTAAATTACTGTCACATAATAACGTTTTTCAAGGTCACTGAAACTAGGTCAGCAATACGAATACATAGTTAATTTTAGGAAATAAATAATGCCGTAAAGTCCGCAATCGCAATCTAATTTAATTGAGAAAAATGTTTTGGAAGAACTCTCTGTTAGACTAGTCCAGTCTAGATAAGAAGGTTTCTTGTAGACCTATTAAGCACATGCTGGTAAATGTGGCTTGATTTATTTCTAGAGAAATACGAAAAAAGGGACATGCAAGCGAGATAATGTTTACAAAAATGGACACTTGACGTAGGTACAATGTAAAAAAAAAATTAAGAAATAAAGGTTATTTCTAGAGAAAAATCCCAAATGTTTAATTTTTTTACATCGCTGTCCTTCCGCTTCAGTATCTTCCTCACATCTTTCCTCACTAAGAACTTGAAAATCTCACGGCTACAAAGCATCTCTTTATCCTTCTCCAGACTACTGGGTTCTCTCCAAATTTACTGAAATGAAAATTTAAGCTAACTTAAAATCTGGATCAAATCTAGTTTTCTTTTTCCGCGTCCAAGCTTCTGTTTTCCTGTCTCTCGGATGCACTGTACTTCCTAGTTGAGCTAGGAAAATCCTGCTGACATTTTTAGATGCATCTATATTTTATTCTATGGAAATGGTTCTGTATTATATGCATATTCCTTTCCAGTTCAGTATCCTGACATTGTACGGCAGTTTATAAAGGGTACAGAGGGGTTTTCTGGACCTTTTGCTGAATGCCTTTGTGGAAGCCCAAACTTATATCAGGTTTGTCATCTATGATCTGCCTCCAGAACACACTAGGTCACCAAACAAGTGGATAGTTATGGTCTCATTATCTTTCTCATAGAAGTTTTCCTATGCTTCATATATAATATATGAAAAGAAACTTTACGAAATTCTCAATTTAAAATTTTCCTTAGAATCCTTATTAGTTATTAGCCACTTCTGGAGAATATATTGTCATACTGTTTCTCATATTTAGTATTTTTGAACTCCAACTAAATCATATAGTATTTAATTTGTATCATTTTCTTTGCATTCTCACTCTGTTTGTGAATCAGGAAGGTGGAAGGAAACCATAGAACAGTGTCGACTTTGTATGTGCACATGATGGTTTTACTTTGGCTGATCTAGTTACCTATAATAACAAACACAATTTAGCAAACAGGGAAGACAACAATGATGGAGAAAGTCATAACAATAGCTGGAATTGTGGAGAGGTAGATATTGACTAAACTTTAAACTCGTGCTTGTATTTGGTTTTAATTAGATGCTTGATGTTGAAGGGTGAGATGAATCAACATCACCAATGAGTATATGAAATTGGCATGGAGGATAGAATGTGTCCAGCTTGATGGCTTGAATTGAAAACACTGGAGTTGCTTGTGTTCTTCGTTGATATATAAGACATGATTTTTTTTTCTAGCTTTGCTCTGTCATTTACCGTGTATCATATCCATTCGATACATTGTGATTTAACTGACCATATACCGGCCCATATACTTGATGCACATATCTTGATTTGCATCTTATAAACTAGTATGGTAAGAAAGGAAATATGACAAATAGTTTTCTCTAGTGTTTCCCTTCCATCTTTACTGCATATATTGTATCTTATAAACACGTTTGCATGCAGATTTGACCAAATTTGGAGCGAAAAGCAATTGACCATTTGTTTGACCAAAAAGGTCCAAAGAGGAACACTTGGTTTTGATGATTTTATTCGCATGAAGAAAAGCAGAAGAAAAATATGTGGCTAGTGAAATTAACTGTATTGTGCCTTCATTGTAGTTGGTTAATTTAGAGTTTATTGAAAATGTGATTGCACCTTTGCAAATACAACCATATGGAAATGCTCTGGAAACTTCGCAAGAGAACTAGGCTCATTAAGGGTCATTCATTCTGTAGATTTTATATGGTTTGAATCTAATGTCAAACTTTTCTGTAAATGCCATCATCTATATCTGCAACGGAAATGTTCTATTTACACTTTTAGTTTTGATCGACTCGATTAACTTGTAGACACAATGGTTATTCAGGAGGGGAAGTTTGCAAGTATTTCTGTGAAGAAACTGAGGAAACGCCAAATGCGGAATTTCTTTTTCTGCCTTATGGTTTCCCAGGTAAGGTTAAATGATTGTTATGCACATTGGATTCCTTTGTTGTGTTGAATACGATTACTTGTATTTATGTCAGAGGTAGACACTATAATTCAAGAAAACCAAACTGTAAGTTTTTCCCAGTTGAGTACATCTAGTCCTTAACATGATATACTTTGAACACTTCACTCTTAAATTCATTCTTGCTATGTTTTAGGTTAAATAAAAGTGTCCTAAATAAATTGACCGATGATACTAGACTTTTTAAGTCATCTTTTTGTATGCTCTACTAGACTTTTTAAGTCATCTTTTTGCATGCTCTTTCAGTTTTTAGTTACAAAGTCTCCATCTACCAACTTATGTATACTTTGTTTTGAATTAATTATTTCTACTTACTACCTTCTCATTACTAGTTTGCCTAGGAACGAAAAGAAATTTATCAGTTACGTTATTGATATCTAAAACCGTATTCAGGAAATTGTATGGCTTACAAACATGGTTAAAAGCGAGCCATGGCAACGTAGCTGTGCAAGTTTTCTGTTAAACAGATGATTTTAACTCAATTACTAAGCCAAGATAATATATGGAGCCTAGCTTAAATAGAAATGGAAATCTCAGTAGCAACAAGACATGGCATATATTTGATCTGATATGGCTTCTGAATAAACTTGAAGGTCTCGTGCTGATCGTGTATGATCATCTGAACAAAAAGTGCATGCCTTGTTTCTTTAAAGCAACACAAAGTTGGTTTCAAGGCTTGAAACTTGACTTAATTTAAGTTTATTTATTAGGATCAGGTTTGAACCTGATTTTCAAGCTTGTTACTCTATGCTTGGCTATCACTTCTACTGTTGGCTATTTGCTGTTTTAGTTTTTAGGATTTTGTTAAGAAATAAATGCAAATAATGATTTATTAATATTGAGGAAATGACTAGAAAGTTGATAGGCGGGTCCCTCTTATAAGTCGGAGGAAATGATAATAAACTACTTTGGAGCAATTTGTTTGTGTTACTTTTTTTACTTGTGTTGCTTGTGAGTGAGGTTTCATAATTTTTACTAACTATGCTCTTCATTTAACCAGGGTGTTCCAATGATTTGCATGGGTGATGAATATGGTCACACAAAAGGGGGAAACAACAACACATACTTCCATGATAATTATGTGATCCTCTATACCCTCATTGCATCTAAATTTACATTGGACCTTACCGTTGGTTTCGTTAATTAGTGTTGCGACACAGGTCAACTACTTTCGGTGGGATAAAATGGAAGAGTCTTCATCAGATATTTTCAGATTCTTCTGTCTCATGACCAAGTTCCGCCGGTGAGAACCCTTGTTTGAGCGAGTGAGCCCTCATCATTCCTTGTCTGCATTTTGAAAATTTGATTTTGCTGAAATCACGCGGTGAATGCGAGTCACTTTGCTTATATGGCTTCTCAACGTCAGAGAGGTTGCAGTGGCATGGTCATACTCCTGGAAAGCCAGACTGGTCTGACACAAGCCGTTTTACTCACTGGTACTTTATCAGACCTTCATATCATATTTGCAACTCTGCACTTTTACTCACTGGTGTTTGAGCTTATTTGTGAGGATAAGGAATAAATGATCTAGTGTAAGACACAACAAGCTCTACAAGTAAGGTGATCTCATCTCTAGCTGACAATTTTGACTGGAATTAGGTTACTCCCACACTTGGTATCGAGCCTGTTAACCTGCATGAGACAGTTCTAATGAAATGTGGTAGAAAATATGTAGAAATAGAACCAGTTAGGACTGCAATTTGATTACTTCATTTTTGTAGGCCATATTCTACATGAACATTACCTTCTAATTTCTTACATTTGGATTAAAGATAGGTTAGAATGCTTAGCAAAAATAGTGACTTGCTTGATAATTCAAATATTTACGGTAACATTATCGAACTGCAGTTAGTACACCTTCTACCAAAACCTCAAGTTTCAAGCCGTTTTGTCTGCTTACCTTGTTGCTTATTGGAATGAGCTTCTTCCGTATATTAGTGCAATAAATATCCGGCCTCAATATCTTTTGATGGAATCAACTAGCAATAGCATGGTTCTGTGTGCTGTATATATATATTTTTTATATGTAATTGAGAAATCTATCAATCTACATGCACAATCCCTTCAGTCTTTCTGCTCGTTTATCAATTTTCTATTTCAGCACTTTGACTGGATTGAGTTATTAACAATTGTTTCTTTCCCAGATTGATTCTCCCCGGGATATAGATGGGAGCCGTAGGTGGACACGAGTAAGCCTGCACCATTCGATTTCCTATCCGACGAAGTCCCAGAGAGTGATATTGCCATCAAACAATATGCTCAATTCCTTGATGCCAATCTATACCCTATGCTCGGTTATTCTTCAATTATTCTGCTACTTACATCAGAAGAACATGCTTAAAATTTCCAGATCAATGTTTTTCTAGCCAATGCCTGAGACTAAATAAATTAAGGGGTAGCATATGTATGAAAACAACATGCTTATGTTGTATAAAATCTACGCATCAAGCCATGGCTATGAAATAAAATTATTCTACAGTATATGTATAATCCTGAAGTTTGCAGTAAAACAATAGCTCTTGTTGATTGAAGGTGCTTTATTTTATGTAGGTTAAGTTTTGTGGACATGGATTCGTCACGGTAAATGGTAAAGCTGGCATTTACATAAAATTTTGAGATAGAAACGTTAGAACCAACCATTTGCTTGACATTTTAACTCTGTTTTTTATGGAAATTTTGTTGGAAAAGTGGTGGAAATTAGTTTCTAAATTATATTTTTAGTGACAATACTTTGGTTGTTTTAATTTTTAAATTTCCTTCGAATCGCCTCTTATATTTTAATTCAATTAATTTAATTTTTTTTTCATATTTTAATTTTAAGTTTTCATGTGAATTATAAACTGTTGACACATTGTGGTTCTAAGTTAATTGATTTTTGTTGGTCGGACTTAGTTTACCCTCGAAATATTTCATTTTCTAAGGCTAAACACGGAAACTCAGGTTCTATTTTTTTCCAAAAAAAAGAAAAGAAAAAAGATCAACAAAAAGGAGAGAAGGTACTAGCACCTCTTTCCTGGAATTCTCTAGAGCCTGTCAGAAATTTCTTCATCCCTCGTCTAAAATTTCTCAGATATTATACCCACCAATTTCTCCCGCCACAACAGCAACGTTCCTTGATTGATTGGTTGAAGCTAAAAGGAAATGGGTTTGATTGGGAAGTTGAAACGAAAGGACATCGACCAAGTTAACGACGACTTCTCAGATTTCTCGCTCTCGTCGCCGGCCACCAAGATTCGCCGTCTCGCCGCTGATTTGCCGCCGATTATCGAGGAAGACTACTTCCCTGAGAATCACGAAAGAGCCATCGTTCTCTTTAACCCGAACCCACTTCTTCTTGATCCTAATGAACCTTCCTTGTGTTCTTCCCCCTTCTTCTCCCTCCATTCCGATCTCATCTCCGTCTTCAAGAGTACGTTTCCTCATCATTTCGTTTCCTTATTTTTGGCTGTTTACGATAATTTTTCATGGTTCTGATTTGGGCATAGAATTGTTGCAGACCAATTCCTACGGGCAACCGACACGAAATCGGCCGAAACCGAAGAGATCAAGAAGGAAAACGAAGGATGTTTAGCTGTGGTTCCATGGGTCCCTTCTCAGATTCCTTCACAGGAAAGCAGAGATGTGGAGCAGGAAGTCTCTGTTCCGGAGTCTATGGAAACTGATGAAATGGATGTAGAAGAGAATTGTAGTGACAGAGAAAGCATGCAAGAAGGGCATGGATATCAATTCGAAGGGCTGAAGCCAAGAGAAGCTTTACATCACTGGATGCAGCCGCAACCACAGCAACATTGCATGATCCCACAGCCTCCTCAAAACCCTTTCACTCCAATCACATGGTCTGATTGATATACTTGTGGTGGTGCTTCTCTGTTTCGTTTTGTAAATGATTTGGTTTTGTTAATGTTGGGGCTAAGAATGAGATGGGTGATGGGGGCTTGGGTATTCCCCTGTTTTGCATGCCTGCGGAAATTATCATTCATTTCTGAGAATTACCCAATGTTTCGAGGGGCATAAATGGTTGTAATTTTGCATGAAATCTTTGCTGTAACAAGTGGAAGTTGGTTGGTGGGAATGGGATGTATGCTAATTGAAGCTAAAGCTGAAGTGCCTTTTTTTTTTTAATCGTGGCTGTATATCTGTCCTTAGCATTACCATTTGTATGTATTGAATCGTAAGCATATTTTAGTTTAGATTTGAGATGCAAAACTGCATCTGCATGCTTGGTTTTTGCTGCTTGCCTTGTTTTATGTGTATTTGTGGTTCTTGCATTCTTCTGCTCGCCATTTTAATTATCCTTTATGAGTTTGGTCTTGGTTTTATTTCTTTAAAACTTACCCAGAAGTGAACTTTGCTCATGGCTAGTGTCCGAGCTGTGTTTCTGGAAATTTATAACTAAACAAATTCTGTTTTTCGACCCTTGAAATCAACCATTTTCCAACTTATTTAGACGGCCAATGGGTTTAGGCTCTAATTACCTACATTTCTGGTTTTATTGTAAATGTTCAATTCATACTTTTAAATGTTTAATTTTTTAATCAAAATTCGTATCTAACCTTTTATAATCATTTCCAATTTTTAGGATTTAAGGTCTTTGATTTCACAAAGAAACCTCATAGATCATAATTAATGTATTAAGAATACATTAATTTTTTAAATCTAAGTGTTTTGAGTTAATCAATTTCAAAAATTGTATTTTTGTTTTCTTCAACAACAAAAAAATCCTAAAAAGTCAAAGAAAGAAAGAAAGAAAGAAAAAAGAATGTTATACGTTGATTAACAATACCAATCCCTAGAACTCTGGTAGGTAGGAAGGACAGAAAGATGCAAAGACCGTATTTAACTAATGTTGAACTACACAGAGCAAGATGCTCTATTTCCACCTCAACCGTTAGATTAAAGCATTTTCATTCCTCTTTCTTCTTATCGACCAAAGCCTTAATAAATATAACTGCTCATCAGCATTCATAAACTGTAAGCAAATGTAATCGCAAATTCAACATGTCAACCCAGAGGACAAAAATAGATATAAAGAAACATCAAGGAAACAAACGAAGCAGCTTCATATGCTAATATAATTGCCAAGCTAATCACTCGTTTTTCAATCAAGAGTGCAGTATTCCCCCATTCAAAATTTCCTCTTTGAGTGGAAATTCCCTTGTTTAGACGCTTAGCAGCTAACTTGCTTTAGCCTGGTTGGTATGGTCCTACCAGTTTCTAATAAATGTATACCTCTTGCAACCAGCATGGAAATGATTTTCACTAGTATTAAACAAAAAAGAATGAGAAAATCGCCTCAGTGACCAAAAATGCCTTATAATATACGATTTTAACCAACTTTTTTTGGATTTGCCAAAATGACCAACAAAATCGCAACGCGAAATAAAAATCGCAACGCGATCCGCAGAATCGCAAATCAGTTTCCAAAATCGCAACGTGATTCTTGACAATCGCAATGCGATTTTCATATTCGCATTGCGATTTTCCATAATCGCAACGCGAATATGAAAATCGCAACGCGAACACATAAATCGCAACGCGTATCCGTAAATCGCAATGCGTATCCGTATATCGCAACGCGTATCCATAAATCGCAACGCGATTTTTAAAGCGCAATTATAATCGCTACGCGTATTTTATTTTCAAATTACAAAAACGAATATTAAGACAAAATCCCGTAATCGCAACTCATAACCTAAAACCTAAAATCACAACTCAGTCCCATCTCCATCTCTCACTCTCTACGGCGAAATCCGTCCCCATCTCCGAAGATTTCCGTCCCCATCTCCGGCGAAATCCCTCACAACCATTCACGGTCAGAAATCCCTCACAATATTCAGAAATGGAAAATCAACCTCCGAGGGTTATTTTTTTAATTATTTTTATTTTGAAATTTTTGCATTATTGTAGGTTTTTCATATTGAAACTGATGATAAGTTTACTGGTCATTTCAATAATAGATTAACCATTTCACTTAGATTTCATTTCGCGTTACGATTCTCTCGTTGCGATTTTCATTTCGCGTTGCTATTCTCTCATTGCAATTTTCAAGTTAGTATTTGTCTTTGTCTTTGTTCTGTCTTTGGTTGAAGTAATGCAATCCATTCAAGTTTCAATTTGCAGAAGAGTCGCAACGAGATAAATGAAAATCGCAACGTGAAAATGACTATCTGCAACGAGAAAAATGAAAATCGCAACGAGAGAATCGCAACGCGAAATGAAAATCGCAACGAGAGAATCGCAACGCGAAACCAAAATCGCATTGCGATTTTCATTTCGCGTTGCGATTCACTCGTTGCGATTTTCATTTCGCGTTGCGATTCTCTCGTTGCGATTTTCATTTCTCTCGTTGCGACAGTCATTCTCTCGTTGCGATTTTCATTTCAACCAAAAGACAAAACAGTGTTGCAAATTTTAGTTTCAAGAATAAACTACTACTTTTTATGTTTATTGTTTTGGTATATCTTCACAGTGTAGTTTTTGGTATATCTAACTTGGTATGTTTATTGTTTTTGTAGAAATTTTTTCGGCTTCATTGACATTAAAGAATAAAGTCAGCCTAGCCACTACAATTGCTTCGAAGCTTTCACCTGCACAAAGACAATTGTTTGAGGAAACCGCTTCGGGCCATGGCTGAGAGTACAGCATCCGGGTGGAGATGCTAATTTGACCCATTTGTGGCTTCAGACCATGACATCAAATCTACCCGACAGTATACACGTGGTGAGGAAGAGATATGGTTTCATTTTCCACCAGCGTATACTTGTTTGGGCGGAAGGAGTTCTGCTTAATCACTGGTCTACGATTCGGACACGATGATGTAGGCGGTACATCGTCATATCGCCCGCCCATCATGGTTATCCCGGGTTTTTCCGGATGAGTCAATGGAGAAGCCGAACCTACACGTCGACGACCTGAAGAAATTGTTAATAAGAAAGCTGGTTTCACTCGGATGGATGACGTCGATGTTGTCCGAGTATGCCTTCTACTACTTGTGTATGCCGGCTTTTTAGGCAGAGAGGCCAGACAACCTATTCCTCGGGAGCTAATAATATTGGTAGAGGACCTGAATGCATGGAATCTGTTTCCATGGGGTTCGTATATGGAAAGCTACCTGGACTAAGTTGTCTACTGCCTTTGATGACCGCAAAAGTTTGCGTGGCGATGGGTCGAAATACACTTTGTCAGGCTTTGTTTAGGCCTTTAAGGTAAGAATTTCTATATAATGTTTCTAAAATTATAATTAATTATTTAACAATTACTAATTTTGTTATTATTGTTGTAGATTTGGATATTCGAGGCTTTCCCAGCATGCGTACATATGCAATAAAAAACGTCAAATGATATTCCCAGGGCTATTTCCTGGAAGAGGAAAATCTGTTGGATTGGGAAGACTTAATACCATATGCGACAATAAATAATGTAAGTTAACACAAATACTTTCATATAATATAAACAGTTATTAATAGTAGACGTTTAACTTTGTTTGAGTTTTTATATTGTTAGGAGGCCAACATTCCATTACAAAGACTGACACCCCGGAGGAAGAGCTTGCCACTGATTGGTGGCAAGCTAGTCAGAGTTTTTTTGATGGCACGGATGATGAGCACATCCACTTCCTCCAATTCGAGAGCCATCACCTCACCTAGAGCCATCACCCGATCGACCCGACTATACACCTCTAGAACGAGAGCCATCACCTATCCGTCACATCATCGAGCCTCTTCTCCACCATCACCTCATGATAGGCGACCAAAGATGCCACGACTCCTATCTCCATGGTTCTCCACCTCTACCTCCACGGGATGAGTCAAGGGAGTTACGTGATGAGGTCAATGCCTTGCGTGAGGAGATCGTACTCTACGCGATAACGATGGTGCATGCGTGTGGAGGTGTCAACTTTACGTGGTGAGGTTGCCGCTCTACGTGAGATGATAGTATCGTTGCAGAATGAGGTTCATACTACGCACGAGGTAAGTTTAAGATTTTCCATATTTAACTTAATGATAAATTTACTCGTAATTTTCACTTAGATTAGCCATTTCACTTAGATTGAGTCAAGGGAGTTACGTGATGAGGTCAATGCCTTGCGTGAGGAGATCGGTACTCTACGCGATAACGATGGTGCATGCGTGTGGAGGTGTCAACTTTACGTGGTGAGGTTGCCGCTCTACGTGAGATGATAGTATCGTTGCAGAATGAGGTTCATACTTACGCAACGAGGTAAGTTTAAGATTTTCCATATTTAACTTAATGATAAATTTACTCGTAATTTCACTTAGATTAGCCATTTCACTTAGATTGCTTAGTAAATTTATTCGGTTGCTGCCAATCTGCTAAACTGTGTATTCTTAACACTGTGAAATAGTATTTGTCTTTGTTTTGTCTTTTGGTTGAAAGTAAATTTGTTCGGTTGCTGCCAATTCTGCTAAACTGTGTATTCTTTAACACTGTGAAATAGTATTTGTCTTTGTTTGTCTTTTGGTTGAAAGTAAATTTGTTCGGTTGCTGCCAATTCTGCTAAACTGTGTATTCTTTAACACTGTGAAATAGTATTTGTCTTTGTTTTGTCTTTTGGTTTGAAAGTAAATTTGTCGTTGCTGCCATTCTGAAACTAATACCCTGAAGTCAGTATTGTCTTTGTTTTGTCTATTGGTTGAAGTAATGCAATCCATTCAAGTTCAATTTGCAGAAGAAGATAGTTTACTTTCGCAACACGAAACTTAAAATCGCAACGAGAGAATCGCAACGCGAATGAAAATCGCAACGACAGAATCGCAACGCGAAACCAAAATCGCAACGACAAAATCGCAACGCGAAACCAAAATCGCATTGCGATTTTCAGTTCGCGTTGCGATTCTCTCGTTGCGATTTTGGTTTCGCGTTGCGATTCTGTCGTTGCGATTTCATTTCGCGTTGCGATTTTGGTTTCGCGTTGCGATTTTGGTTTCTCGTTGCGATTCTCATTTCGCGTTGCGATTTTAAGTTTCGTGTTGCGAAAGTAAACTATTTCTTCTTCTGCAAATTGAAACTTGAATGGATTGCATTACTTCAAACCATAGGACAAAACAAAGACAATACTAACTTCAGGGTATTAGTTTTTGAAACATATTTTTCTTGTTATC